GAGAGAGAGAGAGAGAGAGAGAGAGAGAGAGAGAGAGAGAGAGAGAGAGAGAGAGAGAGAGAGAGATCTTTGATGGACATATTTTCGAACAATGGGACGGGAGGCTGGGAATAAAGTCGCAGATGCGGTGCAAGGCCCCAATTGGCCTTTTTTTTTGCGTTAATGTGGACCATTTTTTTTTATTTATGTGTGTCTGGCGAGCTACAATTCCACCGTGTTAGGTGGACTGTAGATAGGATGGTAGATAGGATTTTTAGATTGATGAGAGTTGTTAGAGGAATATATTTTTAGTAGAAGTCTTGTTGGTGGACTTGGTTTTTCTTTCGGCTTGTGTGGCGTTGTTGCCTTCTGGCGTTCTTCTTAGGGTGGATTTCGGTTTGTGCGGCTTTCATGGCCTTGTGGTTTTCCATTTTTCCGAGGGTTGGGATATGTCAGGGCAGCGGTCCAGAATTGGCTATTCTTCTCCTAGATTGCAAGGCCCAACGCCTGCACCTAAGCTGGGTAATGGTTCCAGTACCGTGTTTTTTTCCGGGTTGTTTGTGGAGGGATTCCGGGCTTCCTTGTTTTCTGTGCTAATAAAGTGAGCTGAGCCTTTTGTAAAAAATAACAATAAAAATTATGCGTGTCATTCTTGTGCAGGGGCTGGATTCAGATGCACGACCGGTCGTAAGTCAAGCTGTGTAGTGCTCCCAGTACCTACTTCCGGGCTTGTTGTGAGGTTGCCCGGCCTCTTTGTTTTGTTTTGTTTTTTGTTGCCTGGCCTGTTTTGTCATGAGCAATGACTTTTGATGTCTTCTTGTCCTTCCTTTTTCCTTTTTGTTTTTGGTGTTGACAGTTCCTTGTAAACGATATGGGACTCAAGAGGCCTGCAAGGCGGCACCAGCGGTGTTGCGTTGCAAATGGAATCCTCCTCTTGCAGCAGTTGCTGGACACGGGATGGTGAATGGAAGTGCCATTATTTCCGAGGCTGGGACATTTGAGAATTTCTACAAAAGCTACAGTAACAAGCCGTCACACCCTCCACCCATGAAAGATGGTGAGGAAGAAGAAGATGCGCAGACAACAAAGAAACCGCCGCGGCCTTCATCGCCAAGCGAGGATGATGACGACCGGAAATCAAGTAAGCCCACAATGACGGTCTCTATGTACGAGCCATCCACATCATCCGGAGGAAATGGCAAACCCGCCTTCTCCCAGTTGACAAATCAGCCATCTCTGAAAGCCGTGCCTAACAAGCCGTCGATGGTGAGGAGAGAAGGATCGGAAGCCTCAGAGGAGCAAAATTTCAGGTTGGGGAATTCAAATTCAACTATTTCTGCACACAGAGAGAAGGGTCTTGCGGGTGCTCCTCGCCCTGCTGCGAATGTCCAATTGGTGAAAGCCGCTGCAGCAGAAATGGAGGAGCCGTCATTCTGTGTCTCAGGTAGGTACATTAATCTTTGCGAGCCGGGTTAGCTTGTCAGTATAATTGATCAGGAAAATGCTCTATTTATTCTATCTGTCAAAAAAAAAGAAAGTCCTATCATTATCATTATATACGAGAGATAACTATTGCATAATTACTATTATTGTTGGGCCTCGGTTGCAAAATTGATTCCCCCACCCCTTGTTTATGCTTAGCTCGTCAGTATAATCGATCAGGAAAATACTCTTTTTATTCTATCTGTGAAAAAAATAAAATCCTATAATTATCATTCTATTGTAATATATTATTATGTATGAGAGATAACTGTTGCATATTTATTGTTGAGCCTCGGTTGCAAAATCGATTCTCCCACCCCTTGTTTGTGCTTCGGAAAGGAGGATCCTTGTTGTTATTGTTTTCTTTTTTCTGTTTGACAGAGTGCTGACGTAGTTCATGATGAGCCTCCTTGTGTTCCCCCCCCCCCTCCAAACTTGCTCTGTTGGCATGCATATATCGAAGTAGCCAGCCTTCTTTTGAACATCTCTCATAATATGGTCTTCACTGTAGAAAGTGAAATCTACATGATGCGTATAATGAATGCATTGCTAAAAAAGTTACCTGTAATTATCTGGACACCCATAGCTGAGATTGCTAGGACTTGGATGATCTACCAATATTTTAGTGGAAGGGCGACAGTATTGAGGTATTGCACCACGGTTGACCGACACGAAGTAGCTGGGAATTATTCTTGATTTCCGCTCCTGGTTTCACTTGAGAGTTGCATTCTTGATTTAACTCACCATCACTCTTGCTTTTCCTTGAGTCCCACTAAAACTCTGAAATTGGTCACCATGGTCGATCCCGTTTGCCCTGGAAGAGTTCGCTAATGTCAAATGAACAAGTTCTTAACTTGCTCAAAAGTTGTTGACTTCACACAATCGCCTGTCTTGTGCTATGTTTGACTGTCTGATTGATTCTCCTTGATCGGTAGAGCTTGCAGAGCTGGGAGAAAAGGGTGAGTACAACAGGGAGGATGATTTCCAAACTGCATGTAGATTGCTGGGCACTGACTGTGAGAAAGACCCTCGTTGCATAGAGTACACGGCTTGTGTACCAGATCCATGCGCCACCAAGTGCTGCAGGTTGAAAGACGAGTACCGTTGTAATTCAGCTTCGAGCAGCAATTGCGCATGGCGGGCAAACTGTCACCCGGCAGAAGGCACGTATGAGATGGCTAGACTCCACACCTAAATGTCCTTGCCATTAGCATTCCGCCCCTTCCCTTCCCACAAAACGAAGAAAAAAAACTCAAAAGACACAGAATCCGAGAGATTCCTTTTCAAAATTTCAGGAAGCTATATTGCCAGCAGGTGAAACTCCCCATCAATAGATGGAGCCTCAGAGAGAATAGAGGAGACCTGAAACTAGGTAAAGTACCACTAGCAGCTCGGTGCACTAGTTTTGAGTATTTGTGCCATCCTGGCTGTTCGATCTGAAATCTCGGGGCCATTACTGTGGCCATGTTGAAAATGATCCAGTTGCTAGTGGGACTTTTGGCCGTGGGGGTTTTCTCCTCCAGGGGCACGGTCCCATTTGGACGGATTAGGAGATATTGGATGTACAGAAGAAAGATCAGTGGCCAGCATCTCTATTCCTCAAAGTAGGACTTGCTCCGGGGCAGCAGGCTGCTCAAAACAACCTGGGCTTGAAATTCTGAAAAAAAGAAGTGAATGATCCGAATCTTGTCTGGGCTGTTCGAACGGCCGGATGTCCGAATGTTTACCCGAGCATGTCCCACCTCAAAATTACAGGCTTTTCGTCCCCTTGAAACAGCGGCACAGCGCACTCTACATGAACTATGACTCCCTCCTCATGCGCAAAGCCTACCTTGCCACATTACTACCTAGCTACGGTGACTGCCTTGATACTTCTTGCCAGGCTCAGCTGGAGAGCTGCACCAACATGAATGCCAGAATGAGCAAGGGGTGTCTGAACTCTCGGTTTGGACACACTAGTTCCAACCACTGTACAATTCCCTAAAAGTAGGATCTGGGCTGTGTGCCCGCTCATGCCCCAGATTTGTGGCCGGTCACCAAATTTTACGGCAGCCACACATCTGGTGATTTGGCAACGCAGTCACTGTACAAATCCCTAAAAGTAGGGATCTGGGCTGTGTCCCTATGCATGCCCCAGATCTGTGGCCAGTCACCAAATTTTATGGCCAGCCACACATCTGGTGATTTGGCGGGGATCTGGGCCGTTCACCCACTGGCGGCTGGGGAGACGGCCAAGAATCCCCCAAGATCACCGGTGAATTTCTGGGAACGAGGGCATGCCACTCGAGGAAGGCCTACGGGCCTTCCAAAAGTTTGATGTGCCTCGCCTGGAAAAACTGAAGGGCCCGGTTGACTCTTGGTGGACACAGCGAACAGCAGAGGACCTCCTTGACCTCATCTTTTTGGGTGTAGCGCCACCCGCCTAAACTGAAGCCCTTGCATGAGTTGGCCAACGGCCTGCTGCCACTTTCAACTATGCTGTTGGGCGCCCTCAGTCACACACATACACACACACAGAGGAAGGCTTTCCCAGTTTTTTCGGACCATGAGCAGGGGGGTCGGTGCATTCTTGCTGGAGGAGTCTTCTGTCGTAGGTGAGTTGTCTCTTATCTTCTTGTTCCTCTTTGGCAGTGACGCGAGTGTGTAGTTTGAGATGAACGTCGGGAATGCCAATTGCAGGGGGCCTCTATCTGCCCTGGCCTACAGCCAGGGCCTACTCGGCTATTTTGCCTCTTCGGCCTCTGGGACCAGGCTGTGTGCTGTTTCAGTCCAGTTCAGTCCGGTACCACCGTCGGTATTAGTCCAGTCAGTCTGCTGGGGGTATACCCCTGCTGCAGTCTGTTTTGTGCCTCATTTTTCATTTGCACACAGTAAGTGCGTGTTGAGTCTGCATCGGAGCTGCAATGTCCCTTCCAGCTCCATCTCTCCCATCCTCATCCCTTCGTCTTGATCCTGACGGACCGCCATCCTGGCGGGTCCGTCACACTGGTATCAGAGCGGGAACGTTCCCCGCTCCCACGCTCCCACCCACCCCATCTCGCAAGTGGGGAAAATGGTGTAATCCCGATAGCAGGATTTTGGCCTGTTTTCGGCCATTTTCAGAGCAAACAGGTGGGAAAACAGTGCAGCGAGGAGAGTTTGACACGTGGCGAAAAAGGAAAGCACAATCACGACGCGTGCGCGCAAGCACCGAGGCCAAGGCCGCACACGCGCGTCCACGCTGCTGCCCCCCCCCCCCCTCTCGGATTATGTATATCAAGATCCAGGATCCTGCCAGGGTTTGAACCTAGGCAGCTGGCAGTCGTGCGCGTGCATAGGCAGTCCCTTAACACACTGGCCAGACTTCATACATGTTTCAGTAGTGTGGCACATTGGTGTTTGAAAAGTGCCACAACAGCTATTTACCCCCCCGGTCGGTGAGCGGCGAGCAGCGAGCATGGCCAACACGACAGCAGCAGGTGGGCTTATATTTGTGACCCCCCCCTCCCTGAGCGTTGTGGCTGCTGTTGCATGTGCACGTGGCAGCTTGCTGAAGATCTTGAAGACCCTTCTGGCTAGGGGGCAGCACTACAGTGAGATCTGGGTGGCTGATCAAGATTTCAACACACCCAGATGATTATTATTATTATTTAATAATTATTTTTTTTTTTTTCTTCTGCTGCAGCGGCAGTTTGGCAGCAGTGAAGACTCCCCTAGCTAGGGGGTTGCGCGACAGTGCAATCAGGGTGTCTGACCAAGATCTCAGCCAACCCTAGATTATTTTTATTATTATTTTTCTGCTGCAGCAACAGGCTGCCAGCACCTTGAAGGCCAAGCTCTTGTGGATCTTGGTGATCTTGTTGCTCTTGGCCAACAAAGAGCTTGGTATCACCTCTCTTTCACTACCCTACTCTCCCCCCTCCCCCCTCTCTCTCTCCCCTACACCATCTAATCATCTTTGCTAACTCTACCACTACTTCCTCCTCCAACCTCCCTCTTCACTCATCTTCCACCATCTGTTCTCTCCTCTCCTCCCCACTCACCATCTTCTACTAATCTCTTTTACTCCTCTCCACCTTTTCCATATCTCTCTCCCATTCTACCACCCTCCTCTCCCCTTTCCCTCCCCCAACTACAACCCCATCATTTCCCCCATCTCCCACTACACTCTTTTTCTCTTTCTCATCTATTTCTCTCGTTCTTCATCACTTTTTCATTCCCCCCCCGCCCAACTTCAATTTTTTCTGTTTTTCTTCTTGTCTTTCTCTTTGATTTAAATTTTCTATTTTTCTCCAAAATTTTGAATTGTCTTATTCCCTATTTTTTTTCTCATTTTCTGATTTATTTTTAATTTTATTTCATTTATTGTGACAATTTGAATTTTTCTATGCCACCTCTGTATCTTGTTAGGACTAGTTATTTAAGCTATCGACGCACATTTTGACCTCTTGGGGGTGATAAAGTTTTGCCGAAATTTTTGAAAAATCCAAAACTTAGTCTCTTCACTTTCCTCCACCTCCTTACTTGTTTATCTATTTATGTATTTATTTATTTATTTATTCTGAAAATTTTAGTTTGTAGTATTTTGAAAGTTAGTGTGCTCTTGTCTAGGCGGCACGAGGCAACCGGCCGGTTCATTCGACCGATTTACCCGGCAGATACTTTATTCGGAAATCCGGATAAAGGATTTTTTGGGGCTGGAGTTTATTTTTTTATTTTTTTTTGGGGGCCTGAGGTGTTTGCGCATCATGTCCCCTCCCTCTACAAATTTAGAAGACCCAATTGCGAGCACTTTGAACTTTTCCCTACATTGGGCCTGCAATGGCAGCAATGGTGTAGCAGTTGTACTTAGCATGCTCAATATTGCTAACTGCACGAGGTTCTCATCTTCACACTGTACTGCGGGCTCTGCAGCTGCCAATTCCAGTGGTTGCACTGATTGAAGTCCATACAACTATGTTGCAGGTTTCTTAGAACACCATGTTTCTTTTGAGATGAAGTAAGAATGGGAGACGAGGAAGTCCCAAGAAATTGCAAGAATAGCTCGAAACACAACGTGGAAGTTGGTGGGATTGGAAAAACAACAAGTTTCTGAATCTGCAATTTGAAGCCGATTTCACAGGTTAATAGTAATACACATTGATTAAATAAGTGATTGAAAGATGATTGATGGATTGACGCCACGGTGTTGAGTGAGTGCATGATTGAATGATTAATCGAGTGATGGATTGATGGATTGATGGGTTGATTCAACTTGATTTATTGTTTGATTGATTGTAGGTATGATAGATTGATTGTTTGATCATCAACTTTGATCAAGTTTGATGTCACTGGTCGATTGATTGGTTGGTTCATTGATACCTTGATTGATTGATTGTCTGATTGATTGAATGATTGAATGATAGATTGACTAACGGACTGGCTGCCTGATTGCCTGATTGCCCGATTGCCTGGTTAACTGACAGACTTACTCACTCACTCACTCACTCACTCACTGACTTACTCATGCTCTCACAGATTGAATGGTAGATTCAATGATTGTGTGACCGACACAGTGAATCGTAAATTGACTAACTGACACAGACAAACTGGTTGTCTGCCTGCATGCCTGCCACACTGACTGACTGGCTGACACAAAGTGATCGATTGAATGATTGACTGATCAATTGAGTATATGGATGGACTGGCTGACTGACTGACACACACACACACACACACACACACACACACACACACACACACACACACACACACACATGCAAAAAAAAAAAAAAAAAAAAAAAGCTATCCATTGCAAACGAGCTGAACAAGGTCATACAATTTCATCAATGCATGCCA